CCCAAAATCCCAAAACACTAAACCGCCCTAAACGCCAGGCCGACTTCATGGGAACCGCGGACCCCTACGTGGAGATCCGGCTCCTGCCCTGCGACCCACTGGCACCGGGAGTCCTTTCCAAGAAGGAGGCATCTTGGCGCCCAGGGTTTAGGGTTTAGGGACGCAGAGAGCCCAATACCCCTTAGGCATAGACCTTAACTCATATTTAGATTTTGGGGGTTTAGGAGTTGGGGCTTAGGAGTTGGGGCGCCAGGTTTAAGGTTTAGGATTCAGGTTTTGGGTTTAGGCTTCTGGGATGATTTCCACGGGTATGGACTTGGCGAGTTATGTGCTTGCTGCCGGGCTTACTGAGTCCATGCCTGTACTACTCCTTTACCTTTTTGTCCTCTGCTCCAAATGTGTTTGAATGTTCTTACTGTTACGTATGATGAATATTGTGATTATGTTGTCCTTACTTCAGATTATCCCGCCGTACGTTCTGATTAGCAGCACCACCACATCGTAAGAAGTGCCGTAGTGTGAGGTCTGCAGCTCAATTTCCTGCCCTTCTGGTTCAGGTGAAGAGCGCCTCCGGCAAGATCTTCGACCGGACTTTGTGGAAGACCACTTCCAGAATTGTCCGAGGGTCTCTGACCCCTCAGTGGGACGAAGCGTACTACTTCTCTCTAAAGGCCAGAGCTGACTTAAGTGAGCTCTTCATTTACATCCGTGTTTTGGATTATGACGTTGTGGTCAGTGACGACTTTTTGGGGCACTGCTCCTTCCGGCTTCTGGACGCGCTCTCACCACAGAACGACGTCAGTGCCGGCTGGCGGGCCTTGTTACAGAGCAGCCGCAGTGCACTCGAGCGCCTCGCCGTGCTCCGAGACCCGCACCTGACCGAGTCCTCCGGGAAGCCACAGCCATTCAAGCTGGTGGCTTAGATAGCCAATGGGAGAACTTCAAACTTTTTGGCTTTATATAGTAAGTCTATCCTAAAAAGTTTGAACTTTTTTGAGCCTGGTTGTTGAAGAAGAGAGGTGGCACCTTTGGGCCAAGAGAAGACCTACGACCTCAGCGCCGCCCAGATCTTCCTGCAGCTGTCCATCATGGCTCGGAGCTCACGGTTTCTGGGCCCATTTTGTTAAGCATCTGCGTTCCGAATCTGTTTATTCCTGTTACCCAGCATCCGTCAACTGCTTGCAGTCCTGTAAACTCTCCCAAGCTCGACACCCTAAACCCCCTAAACCCTA